CTTTTCGGCTACCGAATATAAATAGTTTCTGATATGGGCTAAAAATAATAATTCCCACTAAATTTACCCCTTAAGGGTCATTTGGTTGGAATACGATTTATACTGGTATAAGTTATGCCGGTATAAGTTATATTGGGATAAGTTATGCTGGGATTAATTATGCTGAGATTGTTATTTATTCATTGTTTGGTATGTTGTATTAAGAATGACAATTGCATAATTTCTAAGAAAAAGATATAAGTTATACCGGTGCTAATTACCCCACCCTCTATAAGGTATAAGTTATCCCGGTGTTAAAATTAACACCGGGATAATTTATACTTGATTTGCTAACCAAACAGAGTATTAAGGTGGTATTAAATTTTTATACCACCCCTATACCTCTTTATACCCCTAAACCGTTTGGTTTGGTATGAGGTATAAGAAGGTATAAGGGTGGTATAAAAACTTAATACCATCTTAATACTCTGTTTGGTTAGCAAATCATGTATAAGTTATCACGGTGTTAATTTTAACACTGGAATAACTTATACCTTATAGAGGGTGGGGTAATTAGCACCGGTATAACTTATACATTCTTCTTAAAAATTATGCAATTGTCATTCTTAATACAACATACCAAACAGTAAATAAACAACAATCCCAGCATAACTAATTCCAACATAATTTATCCCAACATAACTTATACCGGAATAAACCGTATTCCAACCAAACGAACCCTTACAGTGTTAGCTTTATGGGAAATGGGGTTTTATTATCCGTCCTTGTTCGAAATGCATCATTAACCCTCTCACACACAAAAAATCACTATAAACTAGAAACACGTGTCTTGTACAATATTCGTCTAAGCACCCTCAATTACACCAAAAGGTATAATAATAGCAATTAATAATTGAGGACCTCTCTTGTTGAAGAAAGGATGCACTTTCTCCGTTCACTTTTACTTGACAGTTATATTAGAAATAGTTTTCATTTTTACTTATCATTTTATACATATTAAGGGAACATAATTTTTTTCCTGTTATACCCACAGTATTTATTACTCATTTCAAATAATTTTCTCAAATTCAATAAAATATGTATCAATTAATTTGAGTATCATGATAAATTATGCACTTCATTTATTATATATTTCTTAAGAAGCGCGAAAAGTCAAGACGTGCCAAGTAAAAGTGAACGGAGGGAGTATATGTTACTACTAACAATACCTTTACGAGCATAGAACTTCTTTCGTTGAAAAAATTGCGGCTAATAAGCAGTGGCGAAGCAAGAAATTTTTCCAAAGGTATTCAAACTTAAAAGAAGTGAGGAAAAAAAAATTCGATAAAAGATGTTCAATACATGTTATATACCTCTAAAACCTAATATTTTACTTATATACGTAGTGTAATTTTTCAACGAATGATGGTCAATTGACCACCGTTTAAGACATGTAGCTTCGCATGTCCTAATAAGCTACGTGAGGTCTATCTTGGCATTTTCTCAACTTTTTATGATAAGTTGTAAAATAGATGATACATCCTTAATCTATCTTAAGTGAAATTAGTTTTGGTTCCTTTTTTTTTCTTTTTATAAAGTCCAAAGAAGGTGATATGTTTGGTGGTGGATGGATTTCTATTAACGGAATATTTTTCATTTTGAATGAGTGAAGTTCATAATTAACTAACAAAAGAGAAATTCTACTTTAATTAAGATTTAATAGCTTTGAGTATGGAGAGTTGTGATGCTTTTTTTTTTTTTTAAGAAATAAAACCATATTACATAGTATTCATTTTTTCTCTCTTTCTTGACAATACGAAAGTTAACTAGTATTGAAAGATAAAGATAGAAATTTTCTTATTCTCCTCCAACTTCAAGTGTATCTAATTACAATAACTTACAAGACCTGTATTTTATATGAAATATGCTTGTTTTGAAATATAGAACTTAAGACTCTTGAATCATACGTTGGTTTTGAAATTGCAGAAATTCTACAAAACCACAATAATATTAGCCTCTTTCAGAACATAAAACAAAAAACAACCAAAAAAAAGAAAGAGAGAAAAATATTACTACGTATTAACTATTTAAGTAAGCCAAACGTAATAGAAGTAACAGTTACGACTATAGTTTTTAATAGTAGGAATTACGTAATAATACACTCCACAAGTTAACCTTGCAATCAGATGACCCAGATTTAAGTTTACAAATATGTAGCCCAATATTATTTGGCTCAGATCAGAAAAAAACCTTCATGCCCTTTTTATTCTGACGCAAATTTTTCATGGTTTTTTGTTCTATTTCTTTACCCAAGTTTATACATTCCTATCCCAGCTATAAACATACAAAAAACAGACCTAAAATCTCTTATTTTTCAAGTTCTATATAGATGAATTTGCTCCAAAGTTTTTGATAGAAAACTCAACAAGAAAAGAAAAATTTGAAAATTCATCATTTAGTAGATAAATCAACGGAAAAATCAACTTTATATATAAATTGTTAGATAAAAGTGAGAAAAAAATCCAAAAATTCTATTTTTCAGTTTTAACTGCATCTGTACAGTAATGTATATTGATGTATAAATTTGTATAAACTTGTATATGAAATGTTGAATAATGTATACCAGTATTTCGCTGGCAAAAAAAAAAAGCAAACTCAGTGTTAATAGAAAACATAGAGAATATGAAGTAAAAGCAAAAAGAAAAATCTAAACAAAAAGTAACCAAAACAAAAGCAAAAGGGAACTGTGGAAAAACTAAAAATAAAAAACATGCAACAAAACTAAAATTACTATCATGAAAGAGAAACTTACTTCAAAAAAAAGATCAATGTTGTATAACAGTATTTTCACACCCAATATACAATATTATACAACATTATACCCTCATTATAATTTTGTATAATGTTGTATAATGATGTAGAACGGTGTATACAAAACTGGATTTCATCTTGACCTTCCTTCTTCAACTAGTATGGTTCCCAAAACCAATGTTAATCAAACACAGTTAACCCAACACTCAAAATTCTTATCATTACAAGCTTTTACAATAATTTTTAACTTAACCTCATCACTTTAGAGTTAGATTTTCCAAATCTGAGTTGAACTTAGAGCTTCAAAGCTCCTTCAATGGAGTTTAGAATATGGATGCAACAAAACTTCAATTTTAAATTTGGACACACATAAATCGAGATTCAAATATTTGAGATCTATAAAAATTTATGAAGATTAAGCAACTTAGTAGAGAAAATGCTTTAAATCAAGTTTGAGTTCTATAAATATTCAGATCTATGTGAGTGAGAGAAGAGAAAGAAAGGAGAAAGCAAAGAGAGGCGGGTTGAGAGTATAAAGTATGCTGGGGAAAAATGAAAATAAAGAAACCCTAAAAGTGTATTTGTAATAGTGGCTAAAGGCTGAAAATTTTCTTTCAGATTATGTATAACCTGGGTCAAACTAGGTAAGGACTTCAAACGTGGGCCATTTTCGGTTGGGCTGTTAGGCCAAGTGACAAGGGCTGTAATTATCCCTTTTTAATACATAAATTGGACTATAGAGTGTTCATGAATGTTCGACAATAACTAAAAATTATATCAAATACTTTCAATCAACAAAGATGTCAGATCACTTCTCAAAGTAGAGGGCTTATAACTGCAGAGATGTTCCCAACAAGTTTGAGGAATAATAGTCCCAGTTAATAATATTTCAAATACTTCAATTGACTACAGTTATTTAGTTTGAATTCTAGGGTTATTATTTTTCCTGTTATCTATGTTAGTTTTCAGTAGACCATGTGTTGATATTCAGGACCACGAAGTTAGTATCTTTGTTTGGTACGAAAATTCCACTGAAGTTTAGCCATTAGAGATATTATTTAAGTATCATCTGGTATGCGGACTAAATTATCCCGAAATTATAATCCCAGGACTAATTTATACCACATGGGATATAGGATAAAATAATCTCAAGTTTGATAGGATAAGATGGGATATTCTGGATTAAGTCGGGGATTAAATTTATACCGTGTTTGGTTGTAGGATAAATTTATACCGCTAACCAAACACGATATAAATTTAATCTCACATCTTATCCCGCCTTATCCCTCGTACCAAACGACCCCTAAGATTTAAATCTCATACCACCTTCATCGTAGGCTTGCATAAATGCTCCCAAGAATATCATTGTCTAGCTATTACCTCCAAGTTGTCGTTCCAAAACTCAACCGAGGTAATTAATGTTAAAAGTATTGATCTAAACTGTAGAATTCAACAAATACAGAACAATTATAGAATGCCAAAAGGGAGCCAGTTCCCAATATCTCAACAGCACCTTTGTCTAAACTTCAACGAGACTTCATATCCGAAACGCAGGAACAATCTGATTAGAAAATCATTCAAAACTTGATAAAAATATCAGAGTTTATTGGAGAAACTAAGTACTAGTGTGAAAAGGTCGTTGAAATTGATCCGTTACGGTATTAACATTATACGCAACATAAGCATATGAAGTAATAAACATAATAGGTATTAGTTTGGTAATGGTTGGAACATCAAACTCGGATTCGGCAAAAATCTACGAAGTGAGAATTGACCCAAAAACTGGATGGGAAGCATGCTAACTTGAGCAACATCTTTTGCAGTTAACACCTTATCAAAACCAGAGACGTCAAAGTACACTTAACTCTCCTTTATACTAACGAACATTACTGCACAACAAAGTTTTAACATATCCTGCCACAAAAAAAGGCAGCTCGGTGCACTAAGCTCCCGCTATGCGCGGGGTTCGGGAAAGGGCCGGACCACAAGGGTCCATCGTACACAGCCTTACCCTGCATTTCTGCAAGAGGTTGTTTCCATGGCTCGAACCCTGGTCACATGGCATCAACTTTACCAGTTACGCCAAGGCTCCCCTTCTAACATATCCTGCCACAAATACGATTGCACTTAAGCCCAACTCACAACTCAAAAGATCAGCCCTTTATGATATTGAAATTGTAAACAGCTCTAATCTGCAAATTTTGAATTAATTGATTCAGAATATTAATTATCAATCCAGCTAGAAGGTTGTTCCACTAAAACTACAACTGAAGAATAAGCAGTGCAATAGTTCTAGCAATTAGCATATAAGACTAGACAAAGAATAATAGGTAAGCAAGAAGGGGGTTTAACCACTTCTTTCTTAGCTAAGACAAAGCTCCTGTTGTTTCTATGAGAACATGAATTGAAACCAAAAAACTGGCGAGCAAAAGATAAACTAATAAGAATAAGAGGTTGTAGCATGATAACTGAAAAAAGAGAAAGTGCCCCATCATACATAAGCAAATACTAAGTAAGTAACTTTGGAGAGATCAAGCTTTCCGTAAAAGCAAATCCCTTCTGACCACCACCTCGAGGCCATAATACAGATGGTTCTCTGGATGTCCTAAATACGTTAGTCCCACATTGATAGTGTATGCACCAGAATAACAACTCACCATCTGCAAACCTATACTTCAGAACAGCTACATAAATCTCGGAAATTCTTATAGTAAACAATGCATTCCAAGATTCCTTGATGTGATAGTCTTTCATTACCCATAACTTAAAAGTTCCCTCCCCCTGATGAGACTCGTAAGTAGAATAAGCACAAAGCATTCCTTCCAATACCGAAACGCCAACATTGATGTCGCTCAGCAAGCATATTTCCAAAGGTAAAGGTATTTCTCCGTACACTTCATTTGAAATACCAAATGAAACCACAAAATAATTTCCTTTTGTTTTTCCGATCCAATGAAATGCCTCGTGTACAAATGCCAAAGAATGCATACCAGACAACACATTGTGACTGCCACAAGGATGTTTATCAATTTTTCTCCAGAGACCACTTTTCAATGCCAGAATTTCACTAGGCAGTCGGAAACCACCATGATATTCGATATCGTGAATAATAAGGATCTTATAGTCGCCACTAGTTGAGTCATATGCCAATCCAAAACAAGAAAATTCCTCTGCTGAAAACTGTGGATTTGGAAGTACGATTGATTCTCTTGTGGAGGGGTTCCACAGCAAAAGTATGCGTGTTGCATCTAAAATATTATCAACCGTGATAATAGCCAAGCCATTGCAAAAACAATTGATTTCGCAGTACCCTGGTCTAGAGTTTGAAGGGCAATCAAGTTTCTGTACATCCTCAACCAGTTGAACCGAGGATAAAGGACAACAACACATGGAAAATATACGATCCTTAGGGCACTTTTGGCAAATAAGAAACTTTTGGGAATTTTGGTCATTCTTGGCATGATTGAGATGCTTCGTCTTAAAGTAAGGCTTAGATATCAATGTATTCCAAAATTTTGAAACACATTCGAAACGAAGAAGAGACCGCACAGTTAACCTGCTGAGGATGTCCCCAAGTATTTCCTCTGGGAAGTGAACTGCCGTGGCCTAGATTAAAACAACAAAGAACAACCAGACAATTTTTTAAAAGTACTACTACAATATTAGACATTTCAACCATGACTTTAGAAAAGATAAACCTGAAACATGTTTGATTTCTTCTATCTACATTTTACAAAGAAATAGTAACAAAATTGAAACTTTCAGTATTTCCAACATGTTTGATGCCTTGGCTATACTTCTCTAGCATTGAATTAGCAATTTTAACAGTAATTTAAGTAAAATTAAACACGGAATTATACACTATTTAGCCATAGAAAACAACAAAAAGTGTGTTCAACAAAAGAACTCACCTCATCAACAACCTCCATCTGCTTTGATGGCTTCACCAACTCTTTGATTTCTTCCTCTGTTTGTGATTTGCCTTTTGTGTCAGTTTGGAGCTTTGATTTGAATGGTAGGGATTTTTATAATTAGAGATGGGCCGGGTCGGGTCCTCAATATTGGAGTACAAATTTTGTCATTTAATTTTGAACGAGCCAAAGGATCTCATATATTAATCCAGTAGATGTAACTTATTAATTTCTTTCCAAAAATTACTCCTCTCCTTCCTTTTTATATGTCACTTCTTTTAATCTTTTCTAAAATTAATGTTACTTTTATATTTTTGAAGATTTTTTACCTTTATTATTTTATTTTCGGAAAAGGGCCAGAACTGACCCTGAACTATAGTTTCAGGGTTAAAAATACCATCCGTCCACCTTTTGGGCCACTAGTATCCCTAACGTTATTTTCCTGGCCCATATATGACACTCCAACTAACGGTTCCTCATTTAAAAAAATAAAGCTTAAATACTAATTACGTGGCAACTTGTCATTGGCTGATTTTAAAACAAAAGACCCATGTCCATACCCAATATGTTGAACCTAACCCGCCCCAAAATAACCCATCCGCTCCGACCTATTAACAAATAACCTAAATAAAACACGGATTTCACCCAATTTGTTAGCCATCGTTTTTCTGTCCTCTTTGCAGACCAATATTCCCCATCTCCCACCTCTCAAATTGAATTCTCAAATTCAACAAAATCAAGTAGGAGTCCTCTATAATGTCAGTTTCTTCTACTTCTTCTCGTGAATCAGGTCAGTTACGCACTTGTTTTTGCGGATTGACTGCTAACCAGTTTACTGCTACGACACCTATGAATGGTGGTCGTAGATTCTTCAAATGTCCTCGTCCTGAAGACATTGCTTGTCGTTATTGGGAATGGCGCCATGAAGAACTTCCGGCCCATGTGTCAATGTTTATCCACACTCAAAAAATTTCATTGAATGTCATTCGTAAAGAAAGGAACAATTTGAAGAAGACCCTGGATGAATTCTTAGGTAGTAATGCTTCAGATTTGAAGAATTGTCTTGCTTGGAGAAGAAAGTGTCGAACTTGGATTCAAATTTGAAACGATGGAAAAAAAATTTGTTGTTGTCATGGGCGTTTTTTGTCTGTTTTGTAGCCGTGAAGAACATGTGTTGAAGTTGTAGTTGCATTTTTCTTTTGTTGTATTATGCTAATGGCTTGGTTGCAATGAAGAAAGTGTTGAAGTTGAAGTTGCAATGTACCCAACTGGGCTTAGTTTTTTGTTTGTCAATGAACAAATATGCAGTTTTTGTAGTAATTCTTATTGTGTTCAATCAAGTAAATTTGACTATTGTCCATTATAATCTCTCTGTCCTTTTCTTTTTTTTAGATCATTTGTTATTTGTTTGCAAGTTTAATTTGCTATATCAAGTCCTCATGGATAAGTATAATTTGCAAGTTTAATTTGCTATAGGTTTGTGATTATATGCAGAAGAGCTTCAGCCAATAAACTAGAGTGCCAATGTATCATCTGTGCTACACTAGAAAGTTGCTCGCTAGAGCTGAAGCATTTCTCCTTCAGTTGTGGTGTCAAACTGCCCCGAGTTTGGGAATCTTTACCATGAGAACTGGAAAGATGTATCAAGCGTCTGCCCCATAGATAAGCATGAAAAACCAATTAGACACCAAGTACCCTGCATAACAATCCCTAGAACAATGTGGACACCAGTAAGAAACAAGTCAAAGTCATTTGAAGCAACATTGCAGCATTCATAACTGATTCTGCTAAAAGTCATTTGAAGAGACAATGATTCTGCTGAAATATGCACCATTCATAACTGATTAAGCCCATCAAAAAATATTACACTGTTTCACCACAAATTAAACCCATCAAAAAATATTTTGGGGTGAATCAACACAGCACCAATCATAATTGATTCACCACAAAATAACAAAAAAAAGTTTAAGTTTGAATCAGTCATTACAAAACATTCAAGGATCTAAATGAAATGGTTGCTACTTAGAGGCAGTTTTGGCCCTCTTAGCCTTTAGCTTGCCAACTCTTGCTTCCTTTTCGGCTATCAATTGGTTAGAAGTCACAGCTGCTTTGCCTTTCCAAGTCACCTTTTTGGGTGAATAGGGCAGATTAGTAGGCAAATTTATACCAGTTCCATCTCCCTTGAAACTAATCTTCCTGGTACCGGTAGATTTTTGGTGCAACTTTCTTTGTTGAAGCATAGTCCAAGCATCAGATATCACCACTGACCTCAAATCCGGATCTTCATCATCATCATCCTCCATCTCCAGTAACATCATCAATATCATCTTCATCTACTGGCATGTTAGAAGGTGTAGCAGCTTGTTTACTTGTCTTCTTAGTTGCAGCATGTTTGTGTTGAATAGCTTTATTTGCTTGACTGGTCTGTTGAGCAGATTTCTTTGCTTGACTGGGTAGTTGAGCTGGTGGTTCACTCAAAGAAGCATTGTATCCAGGAGTAGGCATAAAGGCAAAATCTGAATTCTGACTGTCTTGAGGTGCTGTCGGGGGCACATCTTCCACTGTTTGAGAACATTCTCCTTGGAATAAATGCTTGTGCTTACCATGAACCTACAAGACATAAAACATGTGTTTACTATGGAACTAAAATTGTGGACAAGTTCTGATATTGGACAAGTTCACTGCAGTAAGGTTTAAAAGAAATTGTGGACAAGTTCTGATATTGAACATTTCAGTAAGGTTTAAAAGATTACCAATGGACAAGTTCTGATATTGTGACCAGGTTCACTGCAGTACCCACCTGAAATAAGAAGTCCTTTCCTTGAAGCAGACCATAACCCTTCTCTCTTCCTAGCCTCATCCTTTTCTCTTGTTCTCTTGACCTTTGGTCTACCAACCATTTTATGTACATCTGGTGGATCCATAGCATGTTCTGGCTCAACTTTTCGAAATTTATCACCTCTAACAGGTTGTATCTTATGCATATACACCATCATGTAAGCTTCTTTGGAATACCACCAATGCACCTCACTCAAAGGATCAAGCTTTTTATGAAGTAAAGCTTTAATGGCATGAGGGCATGGTATTCCAGTTAAGTCCCATGCCCTGCATATACATCTCTTCAATTCTAGGTTCACTACATGCTTGTCTGGACCTTCAATCACTTCATATCCAAAGTCTCCATTAAATTCAACTTCACATTCTGCAGCAATAGCTCTATAATCACTATATAGTTCCATGGCATATGGGCTAATTTCTCCTTTCCAGTTTCTGCACTCTTCTTCACGATTTTTCAACAAGTTCATCACCTTCCAGTTAAGAAGTTCAAATGAAAATAACAGTTAAGAAGTATTGAAGGGGAAAAATAGTTAAGCAAATGAAAGAAACAGTTAAGAAGGGGAAAACTAGTTAACAGATGAAAGCAAACAGTTAAACATCAAATTTTTACCTTAACTCTAATCTCTTCCAGCATCTTGATTATAGGTTTTTGTCTTGCTTCTAAAATCCATTTGTTGAAAGATTCTGTAAAGTTATTGTCCACCATGTTGTTCTTGCAAATGGTGTCAAAGTATGCTCTACACCAATTTTGGGGTAGATATCCTACTAAGGTCTTAGCAGCTTCTTCAGTCACATCACCCATGGACTTCAAATGATCTGTAAATTCCTCTTCATATGTGCTCCAAGCACAGCACCACAACAACTTCTTTAACTCCACACCCCTCCACTTCTTGCTCCAATTAGCTTCTATGTGCCTAACACACCATCTGTGATTTGCACTTGGAAGCACAGTAGAAACAGCATCAAGAAGACCCTACAAAAATGAAAGCAAGCAGTTAAACATATAGTCAAACTAGTACAAAGAAACATGTGGATAAAAAATAACTAGAATTACCTTTTGCATATCGGACATAAATGTCACTCCTTCACCCTCTTGCAAATCCAAGGAACTTCTTAGCAACTCTAGAAACCACTTCCAAGTCCTACCAGTTTCCTTATCAACCACTGCCCAAGCTAGGGGATAAAAGTGTTTCACTGAATCTTGTGACATAGCAACAAGTAATATTCCCTTACACTTTCCTTTTAGAAAAGTGCCACCCAGACCTATTAAAGGTCTCAATCCTCCTTTCCAACCATTTTTCAAAGCATGGAAGCACATATACATTCTTAGAAATTTCCTTTTTCCTTGCTCCAAAGCATCTTTGGATATGTTTATCACCACATCAGATCCAGGATTGCTATCGCTCAACTCTTGAGCATAAGCCTCTAATCTGTTATAATCATCAATGTAGCTACCCTCTAATTTCTCTAACACAAGTCTTTTAACCCTCTTCATTATGGAATAACTAACATTAAGTTTGAATTGATCCTCCAGATCCACTCTCATGTCTTTCACTTTGTACTTTGGATTATTTTGAACCTTGTTCTTGAAATAGTGTGCTAAAGTATTAGCAGTAGCTCTTCTATTTTTATAAGCTGGGTCACAATTATTTTCCAAGTTTAAGGTCTTGATTTTAAATCCCTGATCTTTTTTATCCAAAGATATATGGCACACAAAAGGACATCCTATGTCACATTTATATCTCACCCTAGTAGTGTCACTCTTCTTAACTTTAAGGCCCTTGCTAGTAGCAACTGCATAAAATCCCACAACTCTTTTAGCATCAGCCAAGCTTTTAAAACTCATTCCCTTTTCTAGTTCTTTGTATTTTTCTAGTTTTTCAGTGACTTCTTTAGTCATTTCCTTCCTGAAAAGTTCCAATTGCTCATTATCATAGTCACTAGAATCAGTTTCACTAGCACCCTCTTCATCAGAGGAGTCACAATCAGTACCAACCTCTAATGTGTCAATATTTTGTTCATTATACTGAATAATGTTAGGAGCTATTACTTGTTCTTTACCTTCATGTACAGCAAATAACTGAACCACATTGAACTTGGCAAATAGTACAGATATTATTTTCTAATGCCCTCATCACCCTCAACCACATAGTATCTACCTGAAGACCCTGTGACTAAAATCTGTTTCACCTCCCTTAACTTAAGGACTTCAGTGTATTAAGCACAAATATCAATATAAGACAGCATATCCACATCATATCCTTGCAACACATGATTCAGGTTTTTAATGTAAATCACATGAGGCTTCAAGACCCATCTGCCCCCATAATTAAAGACCAAGTCTACATTCTCAAGCATTCTACAAAAAAAGTCATATACAAGCCATACAATAATAAGATAAAGGGACCCATCGGACATATAAAAACAGAAAAATAAAAGGAATAAATACAGAAAAAATATAGAAAAATCAATTCCCCAAACCCTACCAGAAACATAAAATATGTATGGACCACATGCAACCAACAAACTGCTAAATAACATACAATATTCAAATTGGGACCACATAAGAATAAAGAAATCAGAGACCATTCCCTTAAACCCTAAATTTCGGAC